CTGATGGTGTCAAATTTGCAAATGAACTGGAGCTCAGCAGTTTCTCTTTGGAGTCTGGTCCTGATTTATGTTGTTGCTCATCTCTTTTCCCATTCTCTCACCTGTCCTCATTTCTTCCATCCTCACACTTTTTCTACACTTGCTCCCACTCTTTCTCCATTTCCTTTTCCCCTGTGTTCTATTGTACCTTCTGCCTCTCTCTTTTTTCTTCCTCTGCTTCTCTCCCCTTCACTCCTTAATCTTCATCCTGTTAAGTCCTCTGTGCACTCAGAGTCCTCACTGAAGTCAGTGGAACTTCTCAATATGGAGGTCCCACAGTAATGAGCTCTATCTTTCTCATTGCTTCTCCAATTATTCTGCTGTATCTCTCCATATACCTGTGTTTTCCAAATATGCATTAGGAGTGGCATCAGGCCCCAAACCTTGTCAGAGCTGATTGAGCCTGTTATTAAACCCTGCTTTGTGATGAGCTGCCCAAGGAGGAGTTTGGCATTAACCTTTGTAAACCATTTCAAGAACTCAAAGTGGCCTTTTGTATTTGGAGGGAGCCTGAATCCACTGACCTCCCAACCCTTCAGATTCATCCTGACAATATAGTATTGTATGATTTCCCTTTCTCTCATTAACTGGAGCACTATTTCACACTATTCAAAAGCTGCCTTGGAAACAATATTACCTCATAGGAGCACTCAGCGTAGGCTCAGTAACATTTTTTTTTGTCTGAGACTTTAATTCTGCTTGCTATGGTATAGAGCAGTTTTTCTCAAATGGTGGGTTGTGACCTCAAAGATGGATCATGAAAGGCAATTGGGGGTCGGAGGAGATGTCACGAGCTGCTGAATTACAATCTAAAGCAAAGAAAATCTCACTGCCCCGTACACCCTTACTCGTCACGATCAAGAGTTTTCTGTCAACCTCTCGAATCACATATCCACAAAAGTACATTATATAGGCTTATTATTGTCCCACATACATTTTTACTCTTTCTTTTATAGTAAATATAAGGAGACTGCAAAAACTTTTTACTTTGAATAACAGGTCATCAGCCTGAAAAGCTTGAGTTATGCTAATTTAGAGCTTCTCTAACATCCTGCATGTTAGAGGAAATTATGTAAGCAGTACATTTTTTCCTTTCCAAAGGAAGAGAAGGCTCTTGGAACTAGAGCTGGGTGAAATTTTTAGGACAAAACTTTTTCATCAAAAAATGTAGATTCAGGTCGACCGAAACATTTAGCTAGTTTATACTGAATTTACCGAACAAAATCTGAAAAAATCAAAATGTTTTGTTTTGATGTTTTTAATTTCACATTTTAAGTATTCAATTTCAAAATGACTTTTTGTTTTGTATTTTAAATCAAAGGTATAAAAAAGGTTTAAAAAGGTATTAAAAAACACCCTCAAATATTAAACATTTCATTTTGGGTTGGACAAAATATTTTGTTTGACCTGAAATGTATATTTTTTTAACTACTTTGGTTTTCCAAAATATTTTAAACATTTTGCTTTTGAGTCACCTTGAAATTATAATAGATAGATAGATAGATAGATAGATAGATATATTCGATTTTTCGGTTCAGTCACCAGACCAAAAAATTGCTTAATCACATCGCAGTACTTGGGACTTTGAGTAACATACGAAGTACTCCTCCCCCTCCACTCAGAACTTGCCTGCCCTGTTTTGACCTTATCATGGTTGCTAGGAACATCCTTGTGTTGCAGGCCTTATAGACTATCTGTAATAAGAATGAGTTGTTGTTTTTAAATTGAAGCTTAACCCTGCTGTGGTTTCTAGTCTGTCCTTAGGTTCTCCATCTGAGGGCTGTGATACAGGAAACCTAAACACACTGGCTGCACTCTTAACAGCTTTGATTCTCAGGTTCTGCTCCATATGAAATACCCAAACCTACCAGGAAATCAGATTTCTGCTGTACTCTATTGCTAATTAATTATTTCCTCATGCACAAATTTAAACAAAAGAAGATCTCACCAGAACCATGAAAAGATTGGCACAGATCAGCTAGAGGGAACATCTTGGAGGGGTCTAATCCAGTTCCACCCAACAGCTCCACAAAATCTCCCACTCCTGCACAGCCTGTTGATGGTTTCTATAAAGACAGAGACAGAAGATACATTTTGAATATACTTAATAAATTAAACAGCCATTTAGATATCACTGAAGTCAATGGGAGTTGTGGGCTCTCCTGTAAAAATCAGGCCACTTTTGGCCTGTTTAATGCTCTAATTTGAAGTTAGCAAATTAAATTTCCTTAAGAGACCATACAAGTAACCTGTAGATGGATTTTGCCAATAGGAGTACCCAATTATGGTTTTGGATCACATTGGTTCTAGCAAACCAAATCATCCTATCAAAAGCAGTAAGATACTATAGCTGTGGCGCTGAAATATATTACCTTTGCAAAGTTTAGTCAATTAATTTTTGCTGCTAATATAATCCTAACTATAAATTCCACATAGACACACAGAGCTGTGCAAATAACTGACTTTTTGGTTCACTGGCAATTATGAAAAATAAAAAATTTAAAATGTTTCAAGTAGACCCTGAAAACAATTTTTTGTTTTCAAACTGAAAAGTCAAAAAAATTGTTTGGGTTCAAATGAAATGTTCAAAAAAATGTTTCATTTCAATGTTGAGAGAGAGAGTGCGCGCCCCACTCTGTTTCAGCATCGCATTACATTTCTAGGTAGTTGTCAGTGTGACAACTAACCAGGCTATGTTGTTCACTAAGTTCACTTACAATGAAAATATCAGGAGAGCACAACATTCCCCCTCCATTTTTCCCAAGTAGGGAGCATTGTGAAAGGAAGAGAAACCCCATTTTAGCAGACCTAAAATCCACTGGGACAGAGTGAAAGAGGATTTTGGAGCCAACACAAGAGTCCCCTCCCTGCAATCCTGGGGAAGCCCCTCAGTACATTTTGGTTTCCATGGACTGAGGGAGCTGGGGAGAATCTCTTTCTGCAGCTTTAGTGTCTTGGAAAACTGCGAAGATTTTCTTCTGTGATTTAATGCTGACTGCCAGCATTACCTTATACCGACTCCCATTCTACTACTTCAACCCATGGTAAGAGCTGTGCTCAGTTAGTTGCCACTATTATTTTTCCTGTTACAATCCCACGTCTGCTGTTAATGATTGTCACACTCATTTTGCCCTATGCCAAATTGGTGCAAATTACATTTCTAGGCAACTTCTGCCACCATTTATGTGATTGGAGGCCCAGAGACTTCAGTGAGACAAATGGGACTCCTGGTGGGACAAAAGAGGTGTGCACCTGTTGGCAGGATCGGATCCACAGGCATTTTCAGCTAGTTTATAATGGGCAAACTCTGTTTTTTCACTTAGGAGACCTACATTTATTGCGGGTTTTTTGCCCTGGCAATAACCTAAGAACTGTGTTTGGGGGAACACTCTCTCTCCTTGGTCAGAGACAACCATGTAAATCCATGCAAGGAGGGACAGTAAGGCAAGGTGATACATGGGTACTGGTTTGAGCTGGATCCTCAAAGATTTAAGATATGCAGTTTATCTACTGAATCACCCAGGCTCCCATAAATGTTCTATTTTTTAAATTAAACTATCTCTGTGCCACAAACAAAACAGCAATGGTATAATCAATATATGATGAGTTTTGATGAAACAGCAATGGTATAATCAATATATGATGAGAATTTATGAAGTGGTTAAAATTATACTTCAAACTCCACAGACTGAACATTGCTGTTATCTGCATGAAATTCAATACCTTAGCTTTAATCATTTGCTGTTCTTTCCCATACATTGTTTACAGCCAAATCTTGGCCCTATGGTGCTTGACATCATGAAGCTGGACAGAACCCAGGCCCCTTGCCTCAGGCTGACTCCATAGGTATGGAACACTATTGAAAACCTGTGGGCAAAGGAGCCCCTCAATGGCCATCACATAGCATCTATGTGTCTGACAAAACCCAGCCCCAGCCCAGGTGGCTGTCAGACCCCATCTCCATATCTCTTAAGAGTATGTCCAGCTGCAATTAGTCACCCATGGCTGGCCTGTGCCAGCTGGCTCAGGCTCACGGGACTCAGGCTAAAGGGCTGTTTAATTGCAGTGTAGACACTTGGGCTCAGGCAGGAGCCCGGGCTCTAAGATCCTGCAAAGTGGGAGGGTCCCACAGCCCGAGCCCAAATATCTACACAACAATTAAACAGCCCTGCAGCCTGAGCCCGAGTCAGCTGGCACAGGCCAGCCACAGGTGTCTAATTGCAGTGGAGACATATCCTGAGGCTATGACATCACCCTTACAAGCCCATTACTGTGGCACTAGGGAGCTCCAGAGAAGCAAAGAGTCCCTCCAAATTCATGGAGAGGCAAGCAGGTTCCTCCACAGCTCTGTGATGGAAGAGCATAAAGAGGTTGCACAACTTGAAGATTATCAGCTGGTAGTTCTGCAAGGGAGCCAAGACAGGAGAAGCACCCCCTAGGACAAAGAAATCTGCCCCACTCCTCCCCATAGTCTGCATGTTATGGGAGGGAAAGGTTCTTTGCAGCTGTGGGTGTTCCTCCTGTTCTTGGCACCCTTTAGAACTAACAGCTGTTCATCGTTAGATTGTGTGTGTGTAATCATCTTAAGCTCCTCCATGGCTGAGCTGTGGAAGAACCTGCTTGCCTCTCCATGGATTTGGAGGGTCTCTTTGCTTGCTCTGGGTCTCCCTCCTGCTGTATTAATGGGCTTAAATTATAAATGGGTCTTCTTGGGAAGGGCCGGCTCCAGGGTTTTGGCCGCCCCAAGCAGCCAAAACAAAACACACACACAAAAAAAGCCGCGATCGTGATCTGTGGCGGCAATTCGGCGGGAGGTCCTTCACTCCCAGGCGGAGTGAGGGACCGTCCGCCGAATTGCCGCCGAATACCTGGACCTGCCGCCCCTCTCCGGAGCGGCCGCCCCAAGCACCTGCTTGAGAAGCTGGTGCCTGGAGCCGGCCCTGCCTGTTGTGGTCCAAATGGGTTCTATGATCTTCAGAGGAAGCCAGTCAGCAGAGTTTCCCCGGCTCAACTCAAGGTACTAATTTTATACCATTTCCATAGATTTCAAACCACCCCAGGTCCAATTCTGCAAGTTAACAGGTCCCCTCCCCTCCTACTGAAATAAGAAGGGGCAGAGAGTTCTCAGCACCTCATGGGACTGGGTCCATTGTAAACAGATTCCTGCTTTTAATGTCTGTCATTCTAAACACACCCATAACCACACAATATGTGTTACCCTTTTGCCTGTTTAGGACCATCACTACTTGTGTCAATGTAGATTGCATGCTCTTTTGAGCAGAAGCCCTTGGTTTCTTATGAGATGCCTAGCACATATAAGGGCACTCACCATATTAATAATAGTAAATATACAAATGATACTCTGTATAACCTCTTCCAGCTGAAGACAGTAACTTACTATGACACAAACAAACAACTCACCTTTAAATGGAGGCTATTTAAATGTCCCAGTATAAGGTCAGATATTTTTATCACCACTGGATAGATTATGGAAAAACTGCAGTTTCTGTGCTGATGAGGAATTACCATGGTAAACCTTCCAGTAGGGGTCTGAGAGATGACATTGCAAGCTTTAGCACAGGAAAAAGATACAGCATAATTATTTGGACAGTAGTCACAATCTGCATACAGCAAAGATGTAGACATCCAACTGTGTTCTAGACACTTTTGATGTAATTGCAGCTCACAGGCCAAACTCACAGGGCCAGATTCTGCTCTCTAGGACCTCTGCTGACTTCAGCAGAGTTATTCTGATTTACAGCTGGTGTAATCATGAACAGAATCTGGCCTGCATGCTGTGTCATTACACTCCCAACATAGGCCAGTCTGCCCTCTTCACTGTGTCCCATTTTCTCAAATAATGGATGCTATCAAAGAACAATTCATTTTATTATAAATAGAATGCTGAAAAGAGATTCCCTCAGCATTTCCTTTGGCTAGTACATGGCATTGTTCTCTAGCAATTGCCAGCATATCACTCAGAACGTAATATCACATGCCAAAGAACTTGAAGAAACTCCTTTTAGCTGAGTATTTTAGACTACATCTACACTGTAGCTGGGGGTGTAATTAGAAGGTTTTGTAGATTATCTATACTACCTTTAATCTAGCTAGTTTGCTAAAAATAGCAGTGAAGATGTGAAGGCTTGTGGTTTAGGGCTTGTCTACACTTACAGTGCTGTAGTGCTTAGTAAAGACACTACCTATGTCGACGGAAGAGCTTCTCCCATTGGCGTAGGTACTCTGTCTCCCAGAGAGGTTGTAGCTATGTCTATGAGAGACGCCCTCCTGATCAGGAGTTAGATCAGTATAACTATGTCGCTCAGACGTGTGGATTTTCCACACCCCTTCGTGATGTAATTATATCAACATAAGTTTGTAGCATAGACCAGGGCTTAGCTATACTTGTGGGACATACAAGCCTGCCTGCCCTCCCCAGGTACATCCTTGCATTGCTAGCCCTCATTGAAGCCTGCACCACCACATCCTCACTGCTATTTTTAGCAAACTGGTTAGATTAAAGGTAGTGCGGGTACATCTACACAAGCTGCAAATCATTCCCCTGACTGCAGTGTAGATGTAGCCTTAGACCTGATGCTGCAACTGACTCTGCCTGGGTTGACTCTTGTATCTTCATAGAGTCCAATTGACTTCAGTGAGGCTCTGCACAGGAGCAGGGGTTTCTTAGGGATTAAGACCTAGCTCTTGGTCAGTATTGAATAATAAGCTAAATATTACAAGAAGTCCCCTAGCTATTATCTTACATTATATAACTACTAAAACATTCATTGATAGCCATGTTCTGCCCCAACTTACTCACACTGAAATGGATCCCATTGAAACAAGAGAGGATGAATACTGGTTTTATTTTAAAATCTTCATTAAATTGATAGATTCAGTGGCAGTTTACCTTGTGTCTCAATGGTGCAGAGCTGCAATTGTTTTTAGCACACTTGCTCCTGCCATATTTAAGAGCCTATATTTTCATTCCAAGGAATCTTTCACCTTTAAAGAGGATTTATTCTAATGTATGGCTCAGACATTGCCCCTAGATCCACACAGAACCCGCTGTGTGCAGCTCACCTCCCACCCTTCTCGATCCTGCAGGGGACCCACGATCTGGTTCAGGGTCCACCCTGCGGAGCAGGAGACAGGATGGGCTGAAGAGAAAGTGAGTGGAACCGGGGAATACAGGTTTCCCCCTATCCTGGCCCTGGGTGTTGTATTGTCATTTCCTCAGAGCAGTCACAGGCAGGGGCAGGCTCCAGAGGAGCCATGCTGCAGAGAAGCGGCACCAGCCCCCACAGCCTTTCATAGGGGGAGGGAGGAGATTAAACCCTCTCTTTCCATGGGGGAGCCTCACAGAGAATTCCTTCCTCTGAGTTTCCTCCCATGCACAGGATGGTTTGGGTCTATAATAAAAAGTAGAGCATATTCAGTGTGGGTAAGGGTGGCCGAATTGCACTCTGAGCTAGTATGTTTATCAAATGACTAGTATCTGGACTGAGTCGAATAGTACTTGTCAAATAAATTGTTTGCTGAATTTTGTGCTGTGTTTTGAGTAAATATTTTTTATTTGGTCAGTTAATTGACCTGTGCAAATCATTTGAACAGACAGCCATCGAATAATTTGGCAAAATTCACCACATATTTCAAATAACATATTTGAATATTTTTTCTCATTGCCTACCCAGCTCTAGTTATTTGCCAAATTTATGATCTTTAAAGTAATACCAATTACTCTTATTGGATATATTAACATTATCGATTGAACAAATCTTCTTTGAAATAAAAATTCCTTGGCTCTTACATATAGCAAGCATTCTTAAAAAAATCTCTCATATTTCACTGACTCTCTCTCTCAATGTGAGACACAAGTTTAGCCTATATCAGTAATTTCTGAATCAGGTCCTCAGCTGGTATAAATTGTCATAGCTCCATTGAGCGATGTCACTTTACAGCAGCTAGGAATCTGGTCCTCTATGTCTATCGATTTACTGAAGACTTGAAAACGATTTCAGAGAGAGTGGTTTTAAGTTTATCAGCTTCTTTTCAACTGTACTGGTTCATAATAATTGGTTCTTTTTGGTTCCTAATCCAAATGTAGTCCATCTGACAATCCAAGTGGCAATATGAAAATCAGACTTACGGAAGAGGTTGGCATTTTTCTTTATTGTAAATGTAAATCCATTCCCAGGTTCATGAATCCTGAAGAAGATCATTGCCACATTCTGGGATGACCTGATGCTCCTTCGGATGTTGCCGCTGTCACAAAAATCTATATATCTTTCTGAAGTAGGGAGAGGATGGTCCAAAGAACTAGGAAATTTCTCACCTTTGAGTATCCAGCCATCAAACACCTACAGGGGTTCAGTGATTCAAAGAACAGCTCAGGTTTGTTACCATTCTGTCAGCAGTCTCCAGACGTGTCAAAGATTACAGAGTGTAAAAGATGTAAGAAAGGCTCCACTTTAGAGTTTTCCTCTAAAGGTGGAGTTTGAGGGTGAGATTTTCAAAAGCACATAAGGGAATTAGTAACACAGGACCCATTTATTTTTAATGAGCTCCTAACTCCCCTAGATGGTTTTGAATAACCAACTCTGAAACATGAAACTTCACATTGATTTTTCCCACAATGATGCCACTTCAATAAGGAATACAAACTTGTATTTTACAAATCCTTGGCAGAATTCAACCCCTCCCCCTCATGTTTAAACATTAAAGGGATTAAAAACCAATCCTTCCTGACATTTTTACAGAGGGTCTTGTGTTTTTCAGACTCCTATGCCTTTGAAGGCAGTGCTTATGGACTTGATACATCTCATAATGCTTTGTGCTCCTGGAAATAATATCAGATCTCATGGGAGATCAATGTTAAAAGATGCTGAAAGATAACATTATATTTTGCATGGTGGCAACTGACAGAACAATGCATCTTCACAGTCAACATCCATTCTCTGAAGCTTCCTGTCTGGCTTTGCTGTCCTGCCTGATGCTGCTCCCCACCCTCTGTACATCCTATCTCTCTGCTTCTAGAGCCCTGCTACAACGTCTTTCTCTCTGGTTCCATAGCTATGCCCTTACCAATCCCTCACCCTTGCTGAATCCATCTCACCTTCCCCCTCGTCCCAAACAGCCTTCCAATTACCTGTGAAGGTTTGACAGCCAGAGTTTCAGTCCAACAAGCCTGGAAAGTTTGAGTGAGATTCTGAGGAACTGAGTGTGTGCTGTGTTGTGGGTGGTTGTGTGTTGGAGGTGAAAGGTTGTTCATGGAAATGAGGAGTCTGTAAATGCATTTGAGCATGCTATACTTCTAGGAGAAAGATCTGTGAATGGAATCTGGTTGGGATTCTGATGCTGTTTTACCTGGTGATCACCTTGGTTTTCGTTGGTTGTGCTGGGAAGAAAGCCACTTGTGCAGCCTTATCAGCAATTTAACAACCTTTCTTGTTGTTCAATTTAACAATACCTCCCCAATACCTATGGGGAGGTATTGGTCCCACATCAAAGGCACAGAAATGCAGCTGTATTCTAGGTCAGAGAGTGACTAAGTATTTTAAGATCATATAGAGTTCTATCCTGCAAACTCTACTTGCGAGTAGATGACTGCTTCCATGAATAAAGGTTTTCAGAATGATGTCCTTAGATGATAAGGTCCTATTTATACTTCAGGGACATGTACCATGTGTTCATATTATTTACATTTATATTATGGTAGCCACAGAGGAGTCAGCCAGATCAGGTCTCATTGTGCTAGGCACTGCACAGATACTAAGAAGTAGACATTCCCTGACCCAAAGAGTTTACAATCTAAACAGATAACACAGAACAGGTGGGTGAGTGAAACAAGTGGATGGTGGGATGAGCTAACAAAAATAATATGCTAGCTGTATGAGCGGTCCTTCGCCAATGAGTAGCAATAATCCCAATTTGCCACCTGCTTCGCTCTCATTCTCATGTTGTGTCTTGCTCAGTGCTCGTCATATCTTATGTACCTAAAAAATAATGCTTATATTAGCTATCATCTTCTTGGTAATTTCTACAGGTAGATCTTGCATTATAATCCTAACTCAGAAATGCCAAACAGCCTCAACTAGTAGTGGATCTGTTGTTTTTTTGACACCAGGTGTTTAGTCCAAAACCACCAATGAAATTAGAATAATCTGTGTTTCTATATTCTCTGTGGTTAAAAGAAAGTAACTGCTGGTGTTTCAGTCAATGCATAGAAGATAAATGTATGTATTTTATGTTTAGGCTTTACTTTTCCTGGGGTAATGTTGGTTGTATTTAATGAAGAGAAGATGGAGTGAGAATCCCATGGTTTAAAACTATCATTTTATTATTATTATTATTATTATTATTACTGTTCCATTATTACTAAGCCAAGCTTTTGACTGACCTCATCTAGCATCAGCGTCAAACATGTCACCATCTCAACCTCTAACTATTAATTACTTTGCCTCTGCCTTTTTCCACTTGAAATGTTTTAATGCTCATTTTTAATTGGATAGAAGACATTCCTGAGCCCTGGCACTTCAGCTTGAAAAATCAGTATGATAAATCTTCAGTGAAGAATTCCTGCCAGTATTACTGCTTGTGCTAGGTCAGACCTTTTCCTTTCTGTGCCTTTCCTTTTAATGAGGGAGACATGGTAGGTGAGGTAATATCTTTTATTGGACCAAGGGTACAAATTTTGGAGCTTCATAGAGCTCTTCTTCAGGTTTGGGGAAGGTACCCAGAGTGTCCCAACTTGTATTTAGCTTAGGCATGCTGTTAACCTTCCCCAGACCTGAAGAAGAGCTCTGTGAAACTCCAGAGCTTGTACCTTTCACCAACAGAAGTTGATCCAATAAAAAAATATTACCTCATCCACTTTGTCTTTTTCTCATCCTGGAACCAACTGGGCTACATTTCCGTCTCATCTCACTCTGAGGCTTGTGCTGACCATGAAAGAACATGACAGTAACCCTGGCATCAAATTTGCCCTTACAGTGTTCTGAGAAACTTTGTGAGAATACTGTTTTCAGAGCCAGAACAAATGAAGTACCTGCACTGCAATTAGCTTAACTGAGCAACTACCCTTTGAGCGCTGATTCACTTGTCTTCTCATTGCTTTTACTCAGCAAGCCATTACATGCTTCAGTGGTCTTCATGTAGAGCTCTTAGACGCTAAGGGCCAGATCCTGCAAATGTTTAGTGAGGAATCCTTATGCTTATGGGGAAAGGCTTTCTTACCCAAGGATCAGGCCCCAGATCTTCTAGAGCAGCAAATCCTGATCAAGTGGCTACATGTGGGTGTTAGAATATAAGCAAGTAAGGCTGTTTGTAAGAATTGTGAAACTCAGAGCGTAGGTTGCAGGAAAATCCACGAAGGCCCCTAGTGAAGTTCTGTCTGAATTTTTCTGTCCCTAGAAAAGGTCCGGTGTCAAATGCCATGACTCCACAGGAGGTCCCCAGTATCGCTTCTCCCCTAGTATCACTCACTGGCAATTTGTTAGTCTCTAAGGTGCCACAAGTACTCCTGTTCTTTTTGTGGATACAGACTAACACGGCTACTACTCTGAAACCTGTCACTGGCAATGTGACACCTGTGGAAATCCCAAGGTGGGAGAGACTACAAAAGAGTAATACAGCAGGGATCTGTATTTCCACGGGGAAGTCAAAAGTCCAAGGCATGGCTTGGTTCATTCCACACCTCCTCCTTATTTCCTCTCCTCATCCCCAGACCCCTGCCGGGAAGGATGGAATCTGCAGGTGTATAGCCCTCTCCCATGTTAAGATTGGGGGGCACCATGAGGTCACGACACTGGTACTTTGAAGCCTCCCCTGGTCTCATTAACTGAATTAAGTACTGGGTGAAAGTTTCTCCCTGGTGTAAGGCCATTGAACTCAGAGTTTTCCAGTGACGTTTTCTTCGTTCTGGAATATAATTGACCATGAGTCATGAAGTTCATTCTGTTTAAAGAGAACGCCGTGAAAAGCTCCATTGGAGCCATTTAAAAGAAAGAATGGACCAAGCCCCTCATCAGTAAACTAAAGCTAAAGAAATGCCTGTGCAGTGGAAATCCTCTGAGAGCTACAGTAATATCAACAGCATTCGTGTGATTCATCGTGTTACAAAAGCAACAACAAAGCAACACTGATGAAATGAGGCTAAGAGAGTAACGGGGCTTCTCTTTTAAACCCATCACATGAAAACGGGGAGGACGAAATAGCCGGGGGTCCTCTGTGAAAGTTCTGAAACGTTTGCACTGCAGTTTAGCAAGGAACTCCGCCTGCATCACGATCAGATTTTACAGGGGGAGAGTTTCAGAAACGCCTACGGGATTTAGGAGCACAAGTACCAATGGCAGTTACTTTTTAAACCCCTAAAATATACATCACACGCACACACATTTCCCCTCCATCCCCCCACACCCATAAATGCAATGCCTTGCGCCTGGCTAGTATACGGAGGACACGAGTATCATCACCAGGAGCTGCCAGCCTCCTACCTTCAGGAAATCTCCCCCTTGGCAGTCAATATGGACGAAGTCGTAGTCTATTGTGATGAGCTCCTCAGGGTCTCCTATGAAAAAAGCGGCACAGTGCAGCTGGGGCTGCTCGGCGGTGAAGGTGAACTGCCCCTCCACGCTCAGCATGTCGATGCATCCTGGAGAGACAGACTGCATCTGAGCACCGCTCCCCGCAGGGAGACCCGCGCCCAGACCCTGCGGGGAGCGGTGCTCAGACCGTGCTGCAGAAAGACACCCCCGGACGCCCCCCCGGGGAGAACTGAGCTGGGGGGAGTCGGAGGCTGCTCGGGCTTAGACCTCCGTGCCAGGGGTCCAGGCTGCCCATCCCATCTCCCACTCCCTTCAGCCAGGAGCGTCCTGTTGAGCCCAGATCCCACGTGTCTGAGTTCTCACCCCGGATCCCCTACGCCTTGGCCAAGAAACGCACCCTCAGCCCCCTCCCCCCCCGGATCCCCAGTCCCGAGCCCCCGCTCTGAGCTCTCACCGGGGCTCCCCCTTAGCCGAGAAGCGAAGAAACTCACTGAGCGCCCGATGGTAGAGCTGCCTGCCTGACAATTCCCGCTTCAGGTCTGCGCTGAGGAGCAGAAAGGGCTCGTCCTCACCAGCACCCCTCGCCTGGGGAAAGAAACACTTGGGCAAGAAGAGCCTGGGCCAAGGTGAAATGGGCTGATGGCAGCAGCCCCCCCCCTCCCTCGGCCTGTACCCCCCTGAAACAGGTGTCAGAGAATGGCCTCCCGCCCTCCTCCTGAGATGGGCCAGCACAGGCAAAGCTTTGTCTGAAACTTCCTGCCTGTCGCGGTCTAAGGCAACCAGCTCCACAGGGGACCAGAGCTGGAGAGGGAGAGCGAGCAATCCAGATACACGGTGAGTCTCTCAATCCCTTAGCCAAAATGCCAGCAGGCTGCGGAAAGGCGCACTAGCTGGGGAAATGGGGGAGAGGAACTGCTGCCCTTAATGTTACCTCTAGTCTGCGCCTAAGGATTTGGAAGGGAGTGGGAGGGGTAGAGGAGACAGACAGAATGCCCTAAACCTGGAACTGCAAGTTGGAAGAAGGCAGGAGAAGGTGTGATGAGCTGTGATAGGTGTCAGTTGCATTGCTCACCTCTAGGTATCTGGTTTCCCCCTTGAGGGCTGCCAAGAAGATCAGGATGCAGTGGCACTGAAGTCTGAAAGCAGAAGCCATGCTGGCACTTCCTCTCTGGTCCCTGCTTCTCTCTCACTGTCTAAGTTTTCTTTCTTGTCTGTGCTGATAGGCAGCAGCCTGTGGGGTTCCTTTGACAGACCCTTTTTATAGAGCTGTTGGGAGGGGAGGCACTTGGTCCCTGTACTGCTAGGAATTCAGTTACCATGGGTTACCCTATCTCAGTGACAAAGTACGTGGGTATGACGAGGGTCCAAATCACAGCCACACATTTCCAAGCCAGTCTAGCTCTTCTCGTTGGCAGCTGTCTTTTCTACTTACCTGTCTGGCATAGTTAAACAGCTACAGGGAGAAGCGCAGTGTCCCTCTGCACCTACTAAACGCGGGACTGATAGTTAGAATTAGCCCAACTATCCAAAGGCAAAGCAGGAAACAAAGAGCCTCCCCGCATCCCTCTCCCCTTACATGGAATTTCACAGCACATCCCGGAAAGGCAGCAGCAGCATCCCACACTGAACCAGAACCTGTTCCTACACTATGTTAACTGGACCCTCTGAATTCATGGGTGTCTGCAATGCTATCGGTGCCTACAAGGGCTCTTACCAATTGTTTGCTAGACTATGAGATGCTTTGCATAGTGTTATATGAACATTAATTAATTATCCCTCACAATGCCCTTGTGGAGGAGGTAGGTAAATGGGGTCTCCTCTCCTAGAGATGTAAAAGCAGGTGCATACTGTGTAGAACAAGGTCTCCCCCATCCGCAGCCAGAGTAGCAGGGTGGAAGGACCAGCCAGGGACCTCTGCTTTCCCTCCCCTGCCTGTCTTGGTTGGGGGCAGCTCCTATGGGCAACAGGTTCCATATGACTTCCCCCAGTCACAAGGGCTCCAGGGAGGTAAAAACAGGGCAGGGGGGAGGGCAGAGCAAGTCCCAGGAAGCAGCAGGATTCCCCCAGAAGCTCACTCATTAAGAGTTGTCCATTTGAAGGGATTTATGTCATCAGAGACAATAGTTTGGAATCTTTTACTAATCATTGGAATTCTGTCAAATGAATTTCTTTATTAAGATTAAGATTAAAATTCCTATTTTAGAGTTTGCTTTCATGTAATTTATTTCCTCTTATCCTCTTTATTTAAACCTATGGTTTTGTGTTGCATCAAAAATCTTCATAAAGAAATATAAACCGAGAAATTGCCTCCCCATATTTTGGCCTTTCCAAAAATGTCTTGTTTCTAAGTGTGTAAAACATCTCATGCATTCAGTTCACATACGACTTTTAAACATTGACATTGTTTTGTTTCAAAGTTATTAAAACTGGTCTTGTGAACGGAATAGTTAATTGGTGGCTGACCCAGCAATGAAATAGTAAATTTGTCTTCAATTAGTCTGCTCTGAAATGTTTAAATATTGTGGCTCTATGCTGAGATTTGCAAAGGCACCTAAGACAGTAAAACACCAAATCCATATGAAAATCACAGCTCTAAGCCCCTGGTCATGCTATCATAGAGAAGGAGGATAGAGAAGGACTTGAGTAGTTGCAAGAGTCCCTGGGAACATTATATCAGAATCAGGAGAGACTGGAGCTGGAGAGGTACCCCACCGATGGACCTGCTCTTACTCCTGTAGGAGAATCTAGCATCATTCAGCTTGTATTGTCATATGTTCACTTTTTAAACTGAATAAAACAAATGTAAAACATATACAGGCCAAGATCACAGTGTAAGAGACAACTAATTTATGAGGGCAAATCTAGAACAAATCAAAGCTATAGCTAAAATTTCACCATCTAAGAGTGGAGATTCAGTTCTGATTCAGCCCCAGCAGCAGCTTAGAACCAAGACCTGTTCCTCCTGTGCTGAATCCCTCTGGAGACACAGCACAGAATCTAGTCCATGGTTTTGATTGGTGCTAATCCAGTTAAAATGAGGGACGCCTCTAGTGTATGTTGCCTGATGGCTTTCAGGCCCTGAGCCCTGGAATACCTGAAGAGACAGAGAATGTTTGTAAAAAGCAACAGAGGGTCCTGTAGCACCTTTGAGACTAACAGAAGTATTGGGAGCATAAGCTTTCGTGGGTAAGAACCTCACTTCTTCGGATGCAAGAAGAATGTTTGGTGAGCCTATGAGTGTGTGAGAGTTTCACGCATTATTTCCAGGTTTTTGATCATTTCAAACTTGTGACAAGCCACTGATAGAATTAGTAAGCAGTAACAACATAACCAGGTGGCCCTTAAATCTCAAAAATTGCTCTCCCATTTGAGATTTAAGCCTTTTGTAGAATATGCACCAGAGATGTCCCCAGTGGTGACTGATACCTTATTGAGGAGCCCAGTTGATCATGCAGATTCACTAGAGGCTCGGGATCACATGGAAGAACAACAAGGTGCAATTGTGAGTGGAATGGCTTCCTTTGAGATTTATAGCACTTTTCGTCTGGCCACAAGCAGCTTTACTTGTGGTGGTTCACTGCTTCCAGTCTTGGCTAGAAACTGGTGTTGGCAAGGAACATAGCCGAATCTTTTGGAACCTCAAACAAAGGTTTGGATCAAGCTCAGTCCTAAATGTGAGCAAGAGGTTCATTGGTGTTATTGTAACTAAACCAGTTGCCCACTATGAATACAATTATTTTATTTGTACTTCAAAACAGTTATGAAGAGATCCAGTTAGATGGAAACACACTGGGGCAATTATTTCAACACAGATTAAATCATCATCCCCCTGCAATATTTAAAAAAAAACTACTCTAGATATTCATTTAAGGGGCTCTTGAGCTTTAAAATCAAAATCCAAAGACTATGGTCCTTCTTATTTACATCACTTCAAATCCCTAAAAGTTGCACAGCTGTGAGGCCAGAATATGATCATATAAGTCACACAAATCTTGTATTTATATTATCTTTTACTCAGAACCCTTTCTATGGCTGATAGATCAGAAGACCTGGTACAGCATTCAGTTACTATGCAAAAATATAAGATTTACACTATTGTAAAATCAGATTTCAGTATGAACAGTAGGAATAATTTGTATGTGTCCTTGTTAGACTTGGACTCACCTATAAGTCTCCTACCATAACAAGTTGAGAACTATAAGCAACTTCATGCTCCAGAATGCAATAATATTTCATTTACTTCATGCCAATACACTCTCATTAATGAACTGCCTTGTGCAACATATAGAATGAATCCCTATCTTGCTAATACTGTAGTTTTAATACTTCCTACCCAGAGCAGTGTCTGTATTTCTCACTGCAATATTCTTGTTCAAGACTCTTTATAAAATCCTAACTTTTTATTGCAGAGCTACTTGTTCAGGAAATGTGGTTTTGACAATCAAACACAAACAGAAAGAAATTAGAGGTTTTCACAGTATCCAAAATTATTTTAAAATATTTTGTAAAGAAAAGCACCTGAAATGCCATGCATACCCTCTGGCAAACCAATGGGGTGTTATTTCTTTCTTTCATTATTTGACTCATGATAACACTTCTGAGGATATGTCTTTTGTTAACATCCAATTATACAACCTAATAAAACACATTTCCAGTCTAACCCTGCTTCAGGCTAAATAATTTTTTCTCGTGTTATTTGGGCCTAGCCTACACACTAGCAAGCTACACAGCTGTAATTCACTACCCATGTAGCTCCACCAGTAGCATAAATGATGGAAGTTATTGTGCAGATAGTGTACACTCAGATTCTGTCTACATGATAGTTTCCACCAGTGAAGTTGCACCACTGGTGAATTACAGTTAAGAGGTTTGGTAGCACAGATTCAGCCTCAGTCATGTCAAATAAGAATCTAGGGTTATTAGAGCTTGGTTGTGGTTTTTTTTCTTTTTTTTTCTTTTTTTTTTCTTTTCTTGAGATTAAACTGAGAGCTTGGGAGAATCCTCTTGGCATGTACTATAAATTCTCAGTAGCTTGCTCAGAGCTTGTAGGCATCTGTGATAGTGTGAAAGCCTAAGACTGACTCACCACTCTGGGCACTTGGTAAGTGTCCCCACATGGGCTAAATTTGGGAGATAATTGGCCAAGGATTGAATGATTAACCAAGTTGGCTCAGCTCCTCAGCCAAGGAGAGCTAAAAGAGACATAGGAAGAGAAAGAGAGGTAAACTGGAAGGAAAGGCTAGAGAAGCCCAAGATTTCAGGGAGATGAACTCTCTCCACCTGTGTCTAAGGATCATGTAAGAACCTCAAGCTGTGGGGAGCATATTATGTCAGACTGTAAATAAAGCACTTGGTGTTGAACTTGCCACGAGTTCTGTGTGAGGACTGTTTACGGTAAGGAATCCAGAGTGAGGGGAACCCGCCCTGTGACAGCATCTCATAAACTTTTACCTCAGATATGGGTTCTCGATGATAGTAAATAAGAGGTGGGAAAATACAGTTGAATAGTACAACTGCTGAAATGAAATTATTTTGCCATACCCTTTTAGAATACAAGAGCTGCTTTGTGTTAGTATAATACCCTGGGTACGTTTGTATAATGGAGTCTCCCTCAAGATTAGAGCCCCAGTGAGGTGAGGAGCCTGCTACTCACAGCTAAAGGAGTTATTCAAGTTGTAGGCGCTTGCCTTGAAAGTTCTAGGTTTGCTCCTCAGTGACAGCCAGGGGGTCTATGTGTGTAATGGCCACAGGTGATTACATGGCAAGCCTGTCAAAATACTCTTCATGGTGGGAGTTGTTTGCAAACTGATATCTAAAACAGTGAAAGAGGAACCTGAGCTGGGGACATGATATAGGAGGCTGTCCCCAGTAGCATGGAGAGCAGGCTCTCTCTAATTCACTGGAACAAGAATTTTCCATAATCAGCAGGAGCCTAATTTGGAATTCCAGAAGCAGTACCAGACCTCAGCTTCTAGAAATACTGCCACATCATGCTCTCATTCCAGTGGAGGTTCAGGGTTTGATTCAGCCCTGATTCCACAAGCATAGCTCATGGCTGTGGGGCCCCAGGATCAGAAAGTTTGCTTTGCAAGGGCAGTAATAGAGGCTGTTGTATTAATTTAGATGGAATATATGGGCCCAAAGAGTCAAAGGTGTTAACGTGACTCTTTCACTGTCCAACATTAAATAGTGATAAACAAGATTCAGGGTTTGGTATCAAGAGACCTCAGCCTGCT